TAGGGGTGTGATGTATGTCTACTATGCTGTACATCAGGAAAGAACATGTCCTCAGGCATTCCCATCACTCAGCTACAAGAACAAAACAAACACTGAAAGGTTGTGTGTTTAGGCAATACATTCCTGACTTTGTGTGTTTCCATGTGGCGATCCCCTGAGGTGGGATGTTATCTAGTACATTTAATCAAGTACTGTACTTAAAAACAATCTTAGGTTATTTTTCTTTCCTTCAGTATTTCCATTTTATGCTACTTCATGGTTTTACTTTAATACAACGTGGAAGCAAATGTACTGGGCTTCTTTTTACTCCACCATGTGCATATGGCATCATATTTAGAAATGTGCAAATACAAATCATTAATAAAAAATAAAAAGTAAACTAATAAATTATTATGAATTATCATGGATTAAGCTACTAGGCAGGAATTTAAATAGCTGACATCAACATAACCTTTACTAGCTGCAACATCAGTCATGATGTGTAAGCATGTAATGCTTACACATTATTTAATGCCTCTTCACTCATTTTTGTCTTTTGCCATAACTGTTTACAATACAGCACCTTATTACTCTGTGACTTTAGTGTTGCCATTTCTTTGGACTTTACTATATCTGCTCTGAAAAAACTGCATTAGCCGCTGAATAACCTGTTATGGTGTATTCCTTTGAATAATCAAATATGAAAGTGGATATGAACTCTGCTCATGAGGAACACACATGATAAGTATGACTATGTGAACCTAGAAAAGCTGTGTTCAGCCCTGATCAGCCCCATTGCATCTTCTACTGTGCGTGATATTTATTTTTTCCTCATTCTTTGTTACAGTGAATTACATCAGTCCCAAGTTGGGTTTGTTCTGCAGTATGTTTGGGAAGAAACATTCATGAATGAATGAATGTAGTGGGCCTGGGTATTTTGACATCTAGTAACACACACTGTGATTTTCTGCTGGGAGGGCTGTCCAATAAAAATATAAGCCAGCATCTATTCTGGTCTCCATTCAGAGCGGAGAGCATCAGTGGACACAAGCCCCAGACAGAGACACAGACCCCCTGCCCGCATCACTGGGCATGGCCCTGTACTCTGCACGTCCAAAGCCTCTGTTGTTTCAATAATTTTAGGTTTGTTTCACCACCATCACCACCATCACCACCACTCTGCTCCCACAGATCTGTCTTTATATTCTCAATGTACGACAACTATATACTTCAGAAAGCATTGATTTATTGTCAAATACGTGCAGCTAGTCTAAACAATGCCTCTCTCAGACAACTAAAGAATGTGTGAATTCACAGAAGCAATTGGCATGCTGAGATTAATTACAAGAAGGAACACCACATGTAAAAATACCATATTATAAATAAATGTAGAATTCAAATTGTTTACTAAAGTCCAAAATGCAAACAAAAATATGTTTTACTTTTAATTTCATCCAACTGTATAGTGTTAGGTTGTGACATCTATAACGGTTTCATATTTTATGGCCTCATCATATATTTTCTGTAAAAAAACTTAACCTGGCAGACAATGTACCTTGCTAAAAAGTAAAATATTATCTTGTTAAATGCATAGTTGTGAAGTTCAATAGTATATTCTCTGTGTTTCTGCATGTATATCCTTCCCTGTGTGTGTAATGCACATGTGTCTAACTCAAGGCCCGGGGGCCAAATCAGGCCCTTGGTGGATTTAATTTCGGCGCGCAGGATCATTTCTAATTACTATTAGATCTGGCCCGCTGGTTTATTGCACACACACCTTCACTCAATCCTGAGGGTTTCCTCAGCTCAGAGCCTGACTCCAAACATTGATGAACTTGCACCCAAGATGAGATGCCAAGTATCTGGCTTGAACGAGCATCACAGAGCAGCACACTGAGTTTCAATGGATGTTTCCTTCTGCACTTTCTTTCTTGCAACAACAGGGCTTGTTTGTTTTTTTCGTTGAGAAAAATATTTTTTTTTAAGCTGTTGTTGGCCCATGGAAAAATGTAATCATAAGAAATGACTGTGGAAAAGCTGCAGATAGAGACAAGAAATGAATGCAACTGATTATTTAATGTTTAATGTTGTTTTTATAGGCAATCATTTAAGCTTTGTTAGTTCCAGGTTTAATATGTGCAATAACATCATTTCCATAAGTTTTGCAATAAACATTGAACCAGTCCGGCCCTCGACTAGTACCGATATTTTTTATTTTGGCCCACTGTGTATTTGAGTTTGACACCCCTGGTGTAATGTGTGTAAACACAACAGAGTGGGTAAAGACATTTCCCTGTAAGGGATGAATAAAGTATATCTTCTTCTTCTTCAAGGGAAAATCACAAGAACACAAGGGCCTCTTTTGGATAATTTGTGTAACCGTGCATTAATTGTGTATTCCCCAATTGCTTTGCACTGCAGTTCGCAGAAATGACCTGTTACCTGTGCTACATTAATTCGACAGATGCCTTTAACCAAAGTGACTTACATTTGATGAGCAATTTGGGATTCGGTGTCTTACTCAAGGGCTTGTAGACAGGAGCTGGTAATTGAACTACCCACTTGATAAATAGCCTGAGAAAAAGCCACCGCTAACTACCTTCTTAATGTCGAATTAAATAGCAAACAACCAATGAGAGGCTCATCCAACATCTGCATATCTTCCAAATCAGCTAAATAGAGAGCATAAGAAGTGTTTCTTTTTTTACTGGAGTGGTTGCAAAATCAAACTAGAGTCCAAATTGTTCATTATAGTGGGGCAGCAGTACAATAGTGCTGGGTGTTTTTTGTTTGTTGTGGAGTGCCAGTGTGATTTAAAGCTGCTGACAGCACCAGACGCTTACACTGCACTAGGCTCCTGCTGTCTCTCGCCCTCTATCATTTGTATCGATGGATATGGCCTGTCTGCCCGCCTGACAGCCGATCTGTGCTTCTCTTCTCTCCCTTCTTGCTCCTCCGCCTCCATCTCAACTTCTCTTCTCTCTGTTTCTAGCACTCCCCCCTCCTTACTTCTCTTATGTTCAATGCTTTTGACATTCATAATTCCAAATGGCTAAGGTTGGAAAACCGAGCTAAAAAAATACATCTTTTAACAAAAATATATCCGCTATTCAGCTTTTTTCTCAGTTCTGCTGATTGTGATCCAGAAAGTCACTTGCATTAAAGCATCCACATATTGAGTCAGTCACGATCTTAGTTTTATGTCACGGTTTTAGTTTGGTCTGTCTTGTCATGGTTTTATTTTGCTGTTCTGTTCTCCCTGTGTTTTTCTCCCTGTCGTTAGTTTCCCTGGTGTGTCTGATTGTCTGATTGTGTTCACCTGTTGCCCTTGTGTTTCTCCTTCCCTGCCCGGCTGTTTCTCGTCTCGTGATTACCCCTCCCTGTATTTAGTCTTGTCTCTTCCTGTGTTCGGTGTTGGTTCATTATTTGTCGTTCATGTCTCCCTTCATGTTGGTCACAGTCACCTTTTGTTTGGATGCTACTTCGTACCTGTTCATGGATTCTTGTTTTTTCAGCTTTTGAAAATAAAGCTCGCCTTTTGTTTCCTTTTGAAACCTGCTTCCTCCTCAGTCTGCATTTGGGTCCTATTTTTCCCCAACCGTGACAGAGTCCAATGCTAAATAAACACGCATGAATGAAGAATAATGTGTAGCTTCGGCAAAACTAACAATGCTTTGGAATAATTAATGTGAAGCTAAATATATACTGCACTAAAGGGAAGCCTGTGTAAACTCTACTTGTGTAGGATATTGAAACGTTTTTATGGGGAGGTGTTATTGCCGATGAACTCGTAGAGCGAAGTCTTTGTGTTGTTAAGAGTCAATTCAATTGATTGAGTGAATATTTATAATGAATATTTTAAGTAATTAAATATAGCTTTATAATGTTTCAAAATGTTTGCTTCTGTATTAAAACTAACTGTAATGTTACATAACATATATATAAATATATATATTCAAATTATCACCTGATGTAATTTTGTAATAAGGATTTTGTTTTGGATTAACAAGAAAAAAGCAAGGAAGATAAAAAGTTTAATAAAAAAGGGTATTGAATTAGAAAAGGACCTTTATGTCCAGATATGAACAGAAGAGGCCAGAACAGAGAAAATTGAGATGTTTGACCAGATGACAAGAGTTCATTGACCTTCAGTGGCAACATTACAGACCAACAATGTCTCACACACACACACACACACACACACACACACACACACACACACACACACACACACACACACACACACACACACACACACAAGAGAGAGGCCCACAGCACCTGTGTGTAGAATAATCCTTCAGTGTAGTTAACCTGTGTCTGCAGAGAGATCTAGCAGCTCTCTGTCCACCTTTGTTTCAGAAACATTGTTGTGATGTTGATGTTTTGCTCGATCCAAAAGGATGGATTTAATTGATAGGATATTTACAACCTGATTCATTTCTTTTTTGGGTAATTTTTTATTATTTCCGCAGAGATATACCCATCCCTTGATCATTAAATAATATACAGTATGTCTGTCAGTAGAACTGACTATTTATATAATTGTACATATAATTTACTTAAATAAAAGTACAAGTGTTACATTGGACCAATCAAACTAATTAGAAATAATGTCAAATACAGCGATATTAACATTAAAATATAATAAACAGAGGATTATATTGCTATTATATTGCTATTATATTGCTATATCATTATTGTATGTGTCTTGCAATTCAACTAAAGCCACACATTTGTCCTGTATTATAGCATATATATAATCAATATTAAATGTTTTGTATAATGTAAATACCTTATCATATACTTCATATATGTATTTATTTGTTCAACTGTCATGTTTATGTATGTTTTGATAGGGGCTATCTATCTATCTATCTATCTATCTATCTATCTATCTATCTATCTGTCTGTCTGAGGGTGCGCCCTCTCCTCGGCTCTTTCCGGCGATGTTGATATTGGGCTCGTCCCCGCCTCTGCCAGACTGCTTTATGTCTGGCAGTAGAGACCATGCGCGGTCGCCATATTACGGAGCACCCCTCCCCTTCAGCCCGTCACAGGCAGCACGGAGCCACAGCAGCGGTGCAGGAGGCAGGCTACAACACTGAACAACGCTGGGGAGGACCAGTGATACAGCAAAACCAACGACAAAACGAGAATTCAGTGGCATGGATTTAACATTTGTACGCCGCTATTAAGGGATCGTATTCGGTTATACATCTCTGTGCACCGGAAGAAAGGTTGCTTGTTTACATTTTCATTCCTTTGAGCACAATCAGTAGCTAAAACGGCTCGCTTTAGTCTGTGTTTAGCTAGCCGGTGAAGGAGACTGGCAGCTAGCTCGCTGACGTTACTCCTCTGTCAGGCTAGCATCTACATTAAGGCTAACTTATCTAGCAGCTATTTGCTTTCAGTACGGGTGGCATAGTTTCTCATTAGAAAACCTACAAAATGTTAGCTTGTGTTTAACAAAGCCACTAACTAATATCACTGGTGATTTAACGCTGGCATCAGCTGACGTTAGCTCGCTAGCTACTCAGCGAGCGGCCACTAGCTTCTCTTGCCTCGCTAACTGTCACCGTAAAACACTTCATCGTGTTTTAGAGGCTGTAAATATTGGCATAACTTCGCCTGACATTTGCAAACATTCAGTTCTTGGTTGATATATTTATTTTTCGATCGTGTTGTCTGTTGGTTGAAGTGTAGTCAAAACGGCGCCGTTAACGAGCTGCAGCCTTATTGCATACTGTCAGAGAGCAACCACCCCCCGGATCCTCTCGAAATGCATCATCCGGACCCTGCAGGAGACTCTGGCAGTGTTAGAAAGATGGCGCACCCGGCTGTCTTTCACAGAAGGGGTAGCAACACAGGCAGCGGGAGTGGTTCAGCGTTGTCAACACCGGCAAACCCGGTGGTCAATAACAGCCACGTCCCGGCCGATGATTACCAAGCCTCACTGTTGATTCAGTGCCAACCCCCTGCTGGGTCATCCTCCCCGGGTCCCCATCACATGCCACCCCACAGCCTGAATCTGCATGCCCAGCCCCAGCCCACACAGACTGGAGCTCAGATAAAAAAGAAGAGTGGCTTCCAGATTACAAGTGTGACTCCAGCTCAGATATCTGTGAGTACCAACAACAGTATTGCAGAGGACACCGAAAGCTATGATGACCTGGATGAGTCCCACACAGAGGATCTCTCTTCTTCTGAAATACTGGATATGTCTCTATCCAGACCTAATGACATAGTGGGAGGAGAGAGGAGCTCTTCGGAGGAGACTCTGAATAATTTCCATGAGGCTGATACCCCTGGAGCTGTCTCCCCCAACCAGCCTTCACACCCACATGCCATGAACCAAGCTCAACAGCATGGTGGGACCATGGTGAACGGCAATGTACATCATCACCATCACCATCACAACCATGCCCAGGTCTACCCTTTGTCCTCTGGGACTGGGAGCACTCCATCTGCCCTCAATTCTGGAGCTTTACCCTGTATTACCCAGAAAATGCCTTCTAACGTGGGGGGCCCTCAAGATAATGTTTCCCAGGCTGCCCCTCCAAGGATTGCCGCTCAGCCCCAGGGGGTTGTGGCCCCGGGATCCCTCCCTGGAATGCACAGCTCTGCTATGGACACTACAGTTAGCATAGTTAATCCCCAGACCAGCACTGTTAGTAATGTGAATATGTTGAGCTCTGCCAACGTGCCTGTGAGAGGGGGGATAAGCATGAGTGCTAGCAGTAGCAGTGGTGGCTTTCCTTTCAATGTGATGAGCAGCAGTGCAGGGAGCGGAGGTGCTGTTGCAGCCGCAGGTAACCTTATAACCCCCACCTCTAATGTCAACATGATCCAGCAACACCAAAACATCAACTCCAACATCACTATGACTAATACGACTTCTGCTGTTAGTGCCTCTGGAGGGATCGGGGTCCCAGCTGGGATCCATGGGAGAGTTGGATCTGCCGTGCTGCAGCCTGCGAGTGCTCCTAACACATCTGTGGCCCCTGTAACATCGGCCCCTGCCCAGCCTGCCCCAGCTCCAGCTCCTGCTGTGGCTACCACCAGCTCTCGCTTCCGGGTGGTGAAGTTGGACTCTAGCTCTGAACCCTTTAAGAAGGGAAGATGGTTATGCACTGAATTCTACGATAAGGAGACCCCTGCCTCTGCTCCAAGCTCCGCTGCGTCGGAGACTGGCTCTCACAACATGCGTCAGTTTGTCTCTGAGAATTTTGCTGGGACATCAGAGCGAGAAAGCACAAGTGGTAGTTCAGTGAGTAGCACTATGAGTACACTGAGCCATTATACTGAGAGTGTGTGCAGTGGAGATGCTGGGGGACACCCAGTACCCCAACACGCCTCCCCTCCACAGGGATATCAAGGAATCCTCCCCAGTGGTTTAAGCATGGGAGTGTCCCAACCTTACATGCCCCCGTACGATATTACCCCCTCGGCTCCAACTAGCATTCATCAACCTGTTTCCATGCAAGGCCACCAGACCGCCATCCCGACATCCGCTTTACCCCACCACCAGCTCACTTATGCCCAGGCAGTTGCTAGTCCGCCCTTAGGCTCCACACAGGGCCTGGTAGGTGTTCAGCAGCAACAGGGAGGCTATGCCCTGTCACAGCAACCACAATCTAACCACCAAGCAGCCGTGGTGCAGGTGAGACCAGCTGAGTACACCCATTCACACCAAGGTGTCCCCCAGGCAGCTGCCTCTCAACCTCTGTCCAACCAAACTGGGTCAGCTCCCTCCGGGTCTGCTAACGGATTATGTCAGATGATAGGAGGCCTGCAGCAGTCATTGCTTCACACACAGACCTCCTCCTCTAATATGCCCTCTCATGTTGGAGCACCAGGTCTTGGCCAGCGGCCTCAGAGCCACCCAGGCCACCTGGACTGCCAGCAGCAGACACAACAGTCACTCCCAACACAAATCCAAAATCTGAGGACCCAGCTGCCCACAACAGTCCACCAGAACCAAGTATCTGCATCAAGCGTGCCTCCACCCAACCCTCAGAGCGCCCCCCAAGCCCACAACACTGGGAATAGCGGTCGGATGCCTACGCAGGGTGTTCCTCAGAGCCAGGCGTCTTTTCTCAGTTTGTCCCATGACCACAACAGCGCCCTTGCTCTGGCTCATGCTGCCCAGGCCAGTGCCCTCTATGCCAGTCTGCCTACCTTCACCACCACGCAGCTGCAGGACGCCCAGCGGCTGCTCCTCCAGCACCAGTCGACTCTGTTGGGGCTGCCCAAGCTGTCCGGAAGGGAGGCTGGGTCTGGATCCAGCGCTGGCCAGGGTCAGGAAGCTGATGGCAACGCCGCTGCCGCCAGTGCCTTAACTGCATCAGCTGGTCTAAAGACTGGTGATGGAGAGGATGATGGGTAAGAGATTATATTTCTTTACTTTTTCTTCCGATTTATTTAATTGGTTGTAAACCTATATTGGCACATTTTGTCTAGCTTACTGAGAGATGCTTCCTGTAACATGTGTGCTGGTTGACCCAATCGGCATTCATAGTGTGGGATTGATGCTGGATGATTTCACTGGTTGCTGTGGCAGCCGTGAGGGAAGAAAAGTGTCATTGTGTTTCTCGATAGCCAGCAGACAATTGCCAGGCTTCCACAGGCTGTCTGTCCTCTTTCCGTTGGACACAGTGCAGGGTTCAGATGGATGTGACTTGTCTTTAACAATTGGCTGCAGTGATTCGACATTTTATTCCTTTCTTGAATGCTGAGTGTCTGCCTTACAGCGCACAATTTCTGCTGGGTGCACAGATCGCTGTACACACTCTCTCAGCACATTGTTTTGTTGTTGAAAAGCAGGAAAAAAGAAGGAGGAGGCAGGATTATTTAATTAGAGATAGCAGGTGCTAGGTTGCTGCAAATGAAAATGGAGCAAACTAGTCTTATCCTACAGAGGAAACAAAACATTAAAGACTACTTCATTTTGTTTCCCAAAGCAGGCCTTATTCATAATCGTTCTACCTTTCCGTTGAACTCACGAGGAAGGGATGTCGGTTTACTAGTTGACATGAAAAGTGTTGCGCAGTAGTCCTTTCCTTCACTGAAAGCTTATTGATTTAATTAAGAGCTCTCTCTATATTCACTATCTCTCTTCTTTCTCCCATCTCTCTTTGACACTCCTCCAGCTGGTACAGTTTGGTTGCAACGTGTGCTGTCAACCCGCTTCAAGCTCTCCTCTGGAATGCCTTCCCAACAAGTTTCAAGCACTGGTTTCTGAGGTTACAGGGGAATTTTAATCACCCAACAACAGGAAATTGTCCACATTTCAGCCGCTCTTACAGTCTTAAACCCATTTTCCCAACCTCTGAAAATGTTATTATAACCTCCAGTTTCTAGGATGTTTTGCATGCCTCAGTTATAATTACAAAGATGAGGTTGATGACTTGACTGGTTTTCATTCTAGGAATGTTAAGGGTAGCATGGATTTTATAATGATGCTCGTTCTGTTTCAGTCCCTCTTTATGGGCTGGTAAATGGATACTGAAGGATGGCTACTGTTATCACATGACGTTTAACTCTGGGGAATTTGAAATCTATGGGGATCAGGTGGATTATTGTCTTTGATGATAAGTAGCTTTTTGGTGAGACCAAAGCCCTTGTTTCAAATGAGAAGATTGTCCTGGTGAATTAGGCTCACAGTACATTTCTATGTAGTTTACCTGCTGTCACGCGAATACAATTAGGGGACAGTGCCTGAAGTTGAAGTCTGTGTTTCGCTCACTGATGTGTGGCTGCAACTGAAACTGGACAATTTCAATTAATCTTAACTAACAAACCTCATTGATAAAATAACTGCTAAAGTTAGCTATTGCACACTTACAAAGAAGACACACTAGCCATGGCCAAATCAATCTTGCTGATTTTTGATAATCAGCTGAAGCTTAATTCACTGTGTTAGGTTAGGCGTCAATTCCACATTTAAATAACTGACAAACCACTGATTTAATCTGAGCTCCCATGTTATTATAGCATAGAAATATAATTGTAATTTGTGTAGGTAAATCTTTGCTCCTCATGAATAAGATCACACAGAGCACACACAGAGCTTTTCAGCTGCTCATTAGGATGTATAACCATCTTTGAGGTCACACTTTTCAATATCTTACTGCCATACTGATTAGTGTTACTCTTACATTTGTACCCAAATAAATATTTAGAATATATAAAGATGTTTCTTTCAGCTTACAGTCCAGCTACTGTTTCTGGATCATGGCTGTGTCTTTGTAATTGTTAGGAACTTTTTATTTAATTTGAGGTTTCCTACCACTTGCAAATGTTGTGCGTCACTTGTGTTCAAGAGAAACTAAAACCAAGTTCAAACTGCACAGTGCACAGTGATTGTATTTCCAGGAAAAATACATCAACAAGCTGTCTTTCGTCTCAACCAATAAAATTGGGGGTTTTGTTTGCATTTATTTTCAATTTGTACTCATTTGGACAACACAATTTGCTAGCCTATATGATTACAATAAGATTGCACTTAAAGTTAATGTCCAGTTTTATTGAATCATTGCTATAAATGTCATAGTCGTAACAGAGGAGGCTCTGGTATTCATTCCTTTCTCTTCCCTGCCTCAAATGATGGCCATTTTGTATATTGCGTCATTAAAGTACATGTGATGGCACCTTTTCAAGGTCACTTAATGGAACCATACTAAGACCCAGAACCTGTTTCCTGGTCTGAGTTTACAAGCAAGGCTGGGGGGGGGGTGTCTGTGTAACATATCAGTGGTTGTTCTGTTCCCGGGGTCTGCTGTGAGGCTCCTGTCAACATATTTTCAGCTTTTTAGTGTGTGGGATGACCCTAACCCCCATAAATCACCTCCTAAGGCGAGGCTGTAAAAACGCCCGGGTCTCTTTAGAGTGTCAGTGCAGAATAGTGTGTGTGTGTGTGCGTGTGTTAGAGAGTCTGTTTGAATGAGGGAGGCTGTCAATTGTGCATTTGCACTAACATGCCTTGCATTAAGGGAATATGTTCAAAATGGGTGGGTGGTCTGTGCGTGTGAGTGAGGAGACAGCTGCGTCTTGACTGCTGGCGGTTATAGGCTCATTCACAGTAAAACCGTGATTACAAAATGGTAACGAGCAAAATTAAGTATGACAGTATTCTAATGTGCAATATGCATAATTTCACATGCATGAGTCTTTGTATTTGAGGATGTGGTTTGGTGCTGCGCTGCGGTTCTCATTGTCAAAGTTTCCGATAGAAGACAGTGTTTTGACGAAAGGTAATGTAGGCCTGCTTTGCAAACTTGGCTAAATGAGTTTGGTTAAGGGTCTAGTTAACTTTAGTGCATGGTCTTATTTTCTGTTCCTTTTTTAATGTAAAACCCTTTTAAAGTTTTTCTTAGTATTGTTCATTATTATGTAGGTTTGTGGTGAGATCTGGCTGTGAACTAATGTCAGATGTTGCATTAATGTATCATGCTTAGTTTGTTTGAAGTATTTCAGTCCTAGCCTAGTTAATAATCTTATGTTATTGAGACAATGACTCAGGGTAATTCCTTTTTTCAAAATCAGATGTTTGGTCTAAGTTTATTTTTATTAATTTGTTCAGTTTAATATTAGTATTAGCCAGTGACATGGTCATCTATTGATGTTAATACAGTTGTTGTTTTTTTCTTCTATCAGACCTACTATAATGGTAAAAACAGGATATTACATTTCTACTAATAATACTACAAATGATGTGTTTTTAGAATGGCCAACACAGAGCCAATGACGATGGATTGTGGCAAAAGTTGAGCAAAGTACAATTTTTTATTAACCAGCCTACATCTTTTTTCTCAAGACCTTGCTCTGCCAGATAAATGGTCTCATTGAAACAAATGAGGATGCTGCAACACATCCCTATTGTTAGTCTGAATACAGACTAAGTGTGTGAGTGTGAAGGCTCAGGGGAATGTGGCTTTGGCTGGCATAATGATGGCTATCTCTGCCGCTGGCTGTTTTGAATGTAATCTTGCCACTGGCAGTGCAGAGAGCCAGTGTGTGCTGGGCCCGTTGCTCATTGTGCAGAGATCAACGAGATCCCCAGAATTCCCAACACACAGAGGAAGTGACCCAACCTGACTCAGTCAGACCTACTGACGCTGGTATAGAGCGGTGAGGGCACAGCAGGCTGGACCAGATGGAACCAGACTGAGCAGAGTCCAGCTCTGATAAGTCCTGTCTTTGTGTTGCCCCACTGTTCCCTCCATCAGTGCCCACTCTGCAGATGGTTTTGTACGATCATTGGCTCACGGAAGTTTATACTGTAGAAACACCTGATGCCCAGATGTTCCAGTCTTCTAAAGTGGGTCGTAGATAAAAACTGATTTCAAACAGTGGCCATTCTTAGTTTGTTTTTCTTTCAGACCACATTTCCATTAATGACAGCCGTATGAGTTTAGAGGCAGACACTGTGCTAACTCAGCCTTTCCTCTGCTGTTACATTTAGCTTGTGATCAATCATAGATCAAAACTTGTAATCAATTCTAAAAGTTCTAGATAGCCATTTTTGTTGCTTTCTAAGTTACAATGGATTCCAATTTGTACATAAAACATAAATGTCACTATTAACCTGGACAAAATAATTTATATTCACAACATTATACACTTATTATACTACTGAAACACTTGGATCACTTTACATTTACAAGCATTTTTATTTCATTACAAATAGGACAGACATTTTTTTTGTAAAATAGGGCCATATATGCCAATGGATCCGATCCAATATTGTCCCTAGCGTTTATCGATTCAATGATCAATGACCCAATTTCACTGATTCAAATTAACCACCCAAATCACCTCAGCCTCTTTGAATGATGTTATTTGCACCCCGAATTGTCTCATCCATAATTCTTATGTTGACCCTTTATCCGTTTTATTTTTTTACTTTATCATTCTCTGAAATTGATCTGCAAATTAACCATGGACTTAAAATGCACACGGGTGTATAGATTGGACAGATGTTGTGCTTTTTAAGCTGTGAAAAGCATTTATTGATGTAATGAAAAACATTTTGACAGTGTTTCCCCTAGGTTTACTGACTTGGCAGGGTGCTGCTCGGGTACCCCGAAAAAAAATTGTTATCCTCTGGAGCAGCTCCAGAGGATAACAATTTTTTTTCGGGGTACCCGAGCAGCACCCTGCCAAGTCAGTAAACCTAGGGGAAACACTGTCAAAATGTTTTTCATTACATCNACAACACACACCACACGCGCACACACAACACACACGCACTACACAACACACGACACACACGACACACACCGGACACACACACACACACACCACACACACACACACACACAACACACACACACACACACACACACAACACACACACACCCAGCAACACCACACACACACAC